TTCCTTCATCACTACTGTGTCCCAGGTCGGAAATTTGTCAATCTTGCTCGCCGACTATTATTGCATTGATGTTCGACTAACTGGAATTTACTGGATTTCTTGCCATTCTTTCACAATTTCTTTTTTTTTGTTAAGACATTTTTTTTCTTTTTCAATAAAAAAAAGGTCACTTTCCTTTTTTCATTCTCCTTGTTTTCTCTTTCTTTTCGTCGGAGCTCTTATTAAAAATGAGATATATTATTTTAGACGAAAACAAGAGTGTATTTTTCTTTTCGTTTTTTCTTTTATTTCTGATAGTCTCTTTTTTTTTTTTTTTAGCTAGAGATATTATTTTGGATAAAAATAAGAGTGTATTTTTTTCTTTCACTCTTATTTTCGTCTGTCTTTTCGTGGTTCTTAAAAGATTCTTTTATCAAGGAGACGTAATTTCCTATTAAAATAGAAAACTGTATTTCCTGATCCGAATCAATCAATGACGTTATGTAAGTAACAAAGGACATAATTGGACGTAATCGCGTCAAAAGCGACGCAAAAGATATCCGTCCGGGCTCATGAATGACATTCTTTATACGATGAAAAAAATGTTTCGGATTGTATCAGGGACGATACGAAAAAGTTTTGTGTCATCATTTTCTATTGGCCTGTGAAAAGATACTCTATTTCATTGGCGATTAAGTCTTCATTAAAAATACAAGGACAGGGAGGAAGAAGACCATAAGTAAGTAAAGAAGAATGAAGAGAAAGACAGAATAATCAACCATATACCATAAGTTGAAAATTACGTTCTAAATTCTTGGGAATTGGATAAAAGATTGGATTGCAGGATTTTCATCATCCAAAGTTTAAGAAGAAATGATAAGGTTAGAATAGTTTTTCCATGGTAATATAGTAGAATTTAAAAAGAAAATGTTAAATAACATTTACAACTTATCTTCGTATAGATTTTATTACTTAAAATTATAAAATTATTATGATGGAGTCTTTTTAGAAAATGTTACGCAACATCTTAATCTCTTATAATTTTCTTATAATTTTTATTGTTCAAAACTATGAAATGGCGATTTTATATAAAATTGTGTATCATCATGTTTACCGAAACTTTACTAAGTGACACTAAACACTAAAAACGATTGAAATGTGAAAAATAAAAAAATTTTTATGACAACTTAAACAAAGGTAAGGTTTTCTAAAGATTTTTAAATAGTATAAAAAATTAAGGAAATGAGTTATTTAAAAAAAGCTTCCTTTTCTGTAGAAAATAATTAACTTTCCAATATTCATAAAAAAAAATCCCACGATATATTGTAGAATAATTTTATAAAGAACAATGTCTCAAAATCTGAGGATCAAAAAATATGATTTTGAAAAAGATGTTTAATATTTTGAATTAACATCTTTCAGAAATTTAAAGTTTGAAGTTTTAAATTAATATTTTTTTTAACATAAAAAAATTTTTTACAATTTATAAGAAGACTTTTCTCTTCGACAACTTTCATTTTAACTGCTCCAAGAATTTTTAAAATTTTTCTTGTTGAACGCAATCTAAACCTAACTTAAATCTATCCCTCAATTCTGTCCATTTTCAATTTCACACTGCATTCTTGAGATATTACACCAAATCTTTACGTTCATTTTCGATACTTTATCAAAAAAAATTTGACTTCTTTTGCTAAACTCCGCTTAAAATACATTTCAAAAATGGATGATATAATAGTTTTTTTTAAAGTTATTTTAATGAACAAATTTTAAAAGAAATCTTTAGTTCCGAAAATCCTTTTTAAAAGTATTAGACTAAATTTTTCTAACTAACATAATATACAGTTATTTTTAATACTATGACTCTGCCAATCAAATAAACTGTATTATAATGCAGCACACACACACACACACATATATCATGAAAGTAAAAAAAAAAATAGCAAATTAAACCAACATGGTGCTGTATTTCTTTAACAATTCAATAATATTGCTTTCATCATTAGTCGTTTTTTTATTGAAATATATATTAAGCAAGAGGAAGATATGAAA